TTCTCTTCTTCCTCCTCCTTCTTCCTCTTCCTCCTTTTCTTCTCCTCCCTCCCCCTCCTTCTTCTTCCTCTCTTCTCCTTCTTCTTCCTCCTCTTCTTCTCCTTCTCTTCCTCCTTCTTCCTCCCTCCTCCTCCTACTTCCTCTTCTTATTCTTCCTCCTCCTCCTCCTTCCTCCCCCTCCTCCTTCCTCTCCCTCCTTCTCTTCTTCCTCTTCCTCTTCCTCCTCCTCCTTCTCTTCTCCTCCCTCCCCCTCCTTCTTCTTCCTCTCTCCTCCTTCTTCTTCCTCCTCTTCTTCTCCTTCTCTTCCTCCTTCTTCCTCCCTCCTCCTCCTACTTCCTCTTCTTATTCTTCCTCCTCCTCCTCCTTCCTCCCACTCCTCTTCTTCCTCCTCCTTCTCAAATGGTTTATGTTTGACAAATGCTTTTATGTGGATAGTCACACCAGGAAGCAAGAGGTCCTCCCTTTTGTTAGGGTTGACTTCAATAAGCTATAAGGACAACCTAAATCACACGGAGCAAATCCAGGACTGGATGACTCATAGCCTTCTTCAGGGGTGGGTTCTACTTACCTTTACTACCGGTTTGCAACGGGATGCGCAGATCGCTTCTGACGTCAGGGTCAGTGGACGGAGCCTCCCGCCGGTTTTACTACCAGTTCTATAGAACCGGTCCGAACCGGGGGCAACCCACCACTGGCCTTCTTGGCAGATGACCATAAATTGGTAAAAATTTTCAATGAACTCTTCTTCCTGGCACATATCTCGCATCTGACTATTGACAGAGGATGGAATAGCATAGACTATAAACTTCCACCTGTATTGGGCCAGCAGTAGATCCAGAGACTATCCAAGTTTCTTTATGAGCCTCGGTGGCGCAGCGGTCAGAGTGCAGAACTGCAGGCTGCTTCTGCTGACTGCTGGCTGCCTGCAATTTGGCAGTTCAAATCTCACCAGGCTCAAGGTTGACTCAGCCTTTCCATCCTTCTGAGGTCAGTCAAATAAGGACCCAGATTGTTGGGGGCAAGAGGCCGACTCTGTAAACCACTTAGAGAGGGCTGGAAAGCACTGCGAAGCGGTATATAAGTCTAAGTGCTATTGCTATTACTATTAGATCACAACTCCCATCTAGCATGTAGGTATGGTCATTGGAGATGGAAAGACGCGGATGGAAAGAAAGGACCTTACTAAAGGCCTGCTTCTCTCATTCAAGGCACCAGAGAGAGCAGTGGGATTTGGCCGTTAGGAAAGAGAATACAGGTTTAGAGTCCATCAATCATTTTCAAATCAGGGAAATCCTTCCTTCCTTCCTTTCCTCACATTTTCCTTCCTTCCTTCCTTCCTTCCTTCCTTCCTTCCTTCCTTCCTTCCCTCCCTCCCATTTTCCTCTTTCCTCCCTCCCTCCCATTTTCCTCCCTTTCTTCCTTTCTTCCCTCCTCCCATTTTCCTCCCTTTCTTCCTTTCTTCCCTCCCTCCCATTTTTTCCTTTCTTCCTTCTTTCCTCCCTCCCTCCCTCTCATTTTCCTCCCTTCCCTTCCTCCCTTCCCTCCCATTTTCCTCCCTCCCATTTTCCTCCCTCCCATCCTCTCATTTTCCTCCCTTCCCTTCCTTCCTTCCCTCCCATTTTCCTTCCCTCCCTCCCTCCCATTTTCCTCCCTCCCTCTCCCTCCCTCTCATTTTCCTCCCTTCCCTTCCTTCCTTCCTTCCCTCCCTCCCTTGACTGGAGGAAGAGCCACAGAAGATACACCTGGTGTGTCTCAGCCCACAGAAGGAGGGAAGATGTGGGAAGCATTTCAGAAGGGGAGAAATACTTTCAGATTTGCAAGATTCTGTCCATGGAACCTCGCAAGAAAGACACAGCGAGTTCTCCTCGTGGTGCTTCTTGCCCGGACCGCCTCGAAGGGCCGAAATTTATTTTATTGCTTTTTTGCAATCTGCAGTTATCAATGGGAACGCGGGAATCAAATCCTGAGCCGCCTGCAAAAGGGGGCTGGGAATTAACTCCCCCCCAACTCCAGATGAAAGCACCCTGCAAGCTTTCCATTCAATGCTGCCCCCCCCCCTCCGCTAACATTTGCATCTGTTTTTTGCCTAATAAACAGTGGCTTGGCTTTGTGTTTGTTTGTAAACAGAACATTGCCTGCCTGGGATGGGATGGGAGGCCACAAGGAAAGAGTAGGCGAGACGGGCACTTCAAAGCTGCCAGGAGGGAGGGGCTCTTACCTTCAGGAGAAGTCTAAACAAATCCAGATTTCATTTCAGACTTAAGACCAGTAGCACTTATTAGAACACGATTTGCCTTGTAGGAGTTTGGGTAAATAATTAGAGCAGATTGCAGCAGCAGCAGTGAGAACTGCACAGGAATGGCAGAATTAATAAAAGAGCAGGGCGACTAATAATAATAATAATAATAGGGATTATAGCCATAAAAAGAAGACTAATGTTTTTTTTTATTATACAACATCACAACATGCCCTTCCTAAGAATGGAGGGGGATGTGCAGTAGATGTACAGAACTGGGATGAAGCTAAATGTTTTGGTGTTTATGAACAGGGGTGGCCCTTAGAATGATACTGTGAATATTTTATGTGAGTTTCCTCCTCCTCCATTATTATTATGGGGTGGGGAAAATCTCCTTCTCTGTTATTATGAATAAACCTCTTCTTTCCCCATCGCTACCAAGATTATGAAAAATAATCTCCTTCTTTTCCTCCCTTCTTCCCCTTTTCCTTTTCCTCTTCCTCCTTTTCTCTCTTCCTTCTTCTTTCTCTTCTAATCTTTTTCCTTCTCCTTCTTCTCCTTCCATTCTTCCTCTTCCTTCCCTCCGTCTCTCCTCTTTACTTTCGCTTCTCCTCCTTCTTCCTCTTCTCGTCCTTCTCCTTTCTCCTCTCCTTCCATTCTTCCTTTTCCCTCCCTCCGCCTCTCCTCTTCCTTCTCCTCTTCCTTTACTTTCTGTCCCTCCTCCTCCTCCCTCTCTTCCTTCTCCTTCCTCCCTCTCCTTCCATTCTTCCTCTTCCTTCTTCCGCCTCTCTCCTCTTCCTTCTCTTCCTTTACTTTCTCTCCCTCCTCCTCCTTCCCTCTTCTCCTCCTTCTCCTTCCTCCCTCTCCTTCCATTCTTCCTCTTCCTTCCTTCCCTCCGCCTCTCCTCTTCCTTCTCCTCTTCATTTACTTTCTCTCCCTCCTCCTCCTCCTTCCTCTTCCTCCTCCTTCCATTCTTCCTTCCCTCCGCCTCGCCTCTCCCTTTACTTCCTCTCCCTTCTCCTCCTTCTCCCTCTTCTCTTCCCTTCCTTCCCCTTTCTCCTTCTCCCCACCCCCCTTCCTTCTCCTTCCCTCCTTCTTCCTCCTCCTCCTCCTATCCAGCAATCCACCACAGCTGGAGCGACCTGAATCGGTCCAAATAGCAAAAACAAAAAAAAAAACAAACAAAAAAACAAACAAAACCCCCAACCAACCCCTTCACATCCTCAAGCGGACTCATGCCAGGGCCAACTTCTAATAAAACATCTAATAAAACAAATCAAATAAAACAAACAAACTTCAAGAGCCTTGATAGTACAGTGGTCTAAACACCCTGTTATTAACACAGTTGCCTGCAATTTCTGCTGGTTTGAATCTCGCCAAGGCTCAAGGTTGACTCAGCCTTCCATCCTTTCGAAGGGGGTAAATGAGGACCCAGTTGTGGGGGCAATAAGCTGACTTTGTATAAATATACAAAAGGATGAAGGCTATTGCTTAACGCATTGTAAGCCGCCCTGAGTCTCCGGAGAAGGGGGGCATATAAATCAAATTAAAAAAAAAAAAAGTGGTAGGAGGTTCCATCGCCCCTGTCTTGGACCCTCACTCCCTCCTTCTCTCTCTCTCTCTCTCTCAGTCTCCACCCTCCCTGCTCGCCCTGTCCCCTTAAGAGGAGCCTCCCCCTCCCCTCCTCCAGTTCCCAGCCTCCCTCTCCTTCTCCCCCTCCCCTCCCCTCCCCACAATCCTCTAGCGGACTCATGCCAGGGCTAACTTCAAGTGGCGGGCGGTTCCATCGGCCTCTGTTTTGGACCCTCCTCCCCTCTCTCTCTCTCTCTCTCTCTCTCCTCTCTCTCTCTCTCTCTTTCTCTCTCTCAGTCTCCCACCCTCCCTGCTCGCCCTGTCCCCTTAAGAGGAGCCTCCCCCTCCCCTCCCCTCCCCTAGTTCCCAGCCTCCCTCTCCTTCTCCCTCCCCTCCCCAGCCCAGCCTCTCCTTCTCTCCCTCCCCTCCCCTCCCCAGCCCAGCTCCCTCTCCCTTCTCTCCCTCCCCTCTCCTCCCTCCCCACATCCTCTAGCGGACTCATGCCAGGGCTAACTTCAAGTGGCGGGCGGTTCCATCGGCCTCTGTTTTGGACCCTCCCTCCCTCCTTCTCTCTCTCTCTCTCTCTCTCTCTCTCTCTCTCTCTTTCTCTCTCTCAGTCTCCCACCCTCCCTGCTCGCCCTGTCCCCTTAAGAGGAGCCTCCCCCTCCCCTCCCCTCCTCCAGTTCCCAGCCTCCCTCTCCTTCTCCCTCCCCTCCCCTCCCCAGCCCAGCCTCTCCTCTCTCTCCTCCCCCTCTCCCTCCCCAGCCCAGCCTCTCCTCTCCTTCTCTCCTCCCCTCCTCCTCCTCCCCTCCCCATCCTCTAGCGGACTCATGCCAGGGCTAACTTCAAGTGGCGGGTGGTTCCATCGGCCTCTGTTTTGGACCCTCCCTCCCTCCTCCTTCTCTCTCTCTCTCTCTCTTTCTCTCTCTCAGTCTCCCACCCTCCCTGCTCGCCCTGTCCCCTTAAGAGGAGCCTCCCCCTCCCCTCCCCTCCCCTAGTTCCCAGCCTCCCTCTCCTCTCCCCCTCCCCTCCCCTCCCCCAGCCTCTCCTTCTCCCCTCCCCTCCCCTCCCCAGCCCAGCCTCTCCTTCTGGGCTAGCGGGCGCCTGACTCACCCGCGGCGGCTGCGCCTTTAAAAGGCCGCCCTCGCCCGCCTCCCCGGCTGCTTTGGAGAGAGGCTGGACCTGGCTGGCTGGCTGGCTGGCAGGCGGCCCTGGGCTCGGCGGCGCCTGCGCTGCCTCTGCGACCGACCGGACCTACAGAACCAGCGGCTCCCCCAACCAAGCAACCCAACCCAACTCAACCCAACTCAACCCAACCAAACTCAACCCAACCCAAGCCAGCCAAGTCCAGCGGACGCAGCAAGCAGCGCAACCCAACCGGAGAGGAGGAGGAGGAGGAGGAGGGGGGGGGGGCTCCTTCGCTTCGCCTTGCTCGCTTCGCCTCGGGACCCCTCCCCGGCGTTTCTTGGGGGGCGGACGCCCCTCCCGTTCCTCTCCCTCCCTCCAGAGCCCAGCCGACGCCCGGGGCGACATCTGGCCAGAGGTGGCGCGGCCGGCGGGGGCGCACCGGGGGTCGCAGAGCCTGGCCCGGCATCGCCCCGAAAGGCGACGGCGCTTAAGGTGGCTTGGGGGAAGATTGGGAGGGAGGGGGGGGAGAGGTGTGTGTGTGTGTGTGTGTGTGAGGTTCCCCCCCCCCATTTTCCTTTTGTTGGGGGAGGGGGGCTTTAATAAAGTCTTTCCCCTCCCCCTCTTTTTTTGGGGGGGGGGGTTGGGATCCTGAAGGTGGCTTGACTTTCAAGGAGGGGAGATGGGGCGAAGGGGGGGGGAGATTTCACCCACCCCCATTTCCTTTTATTAGGGGGGGGGAGGACTTTAATAAAGCCTCCCCCCTCCCCCCTTTTGGGGATCCTGAAGTTGGCTTGGCTCTTGAGGAGGCTTGGGGAGGGGAGGATTTTCCCACCCCTTTTATTGGAGGGGGGGATTTTAAGAAAGTCTCCCTCCCTTCTTTTTTTGGGGGGGACCCTGAAGGGTCTTAAGGAGGCTTGGGGAGGGCAGGGGGCTGCGGGGGGAGGATTTCCCCACCCCCTTTTCCTTTTACTGGGGGGGATTTTAATAAAGTCTCCCCCCCCCCTTTTTGGGGGGGATCCTGAAGCCTTTTGGCTTTTAAGGAGTCTTAATGATGGGGGGGGGCAAGTGGGGGGGGGAGATTTCCCCATCCCCATTTCCTTTTACTGGGTGTGGGGGGAGAGGACTTTAATAAGGCCTTCCCCTCCCCCTTTTGGGGATCCTGAAGATGGCTTGACTTTTAAGGGGCTTGGGGGGGGGGGAACAGGGGGAGGTTTTTCCCACACACCCCTTTATTGGGGCAGGGCCTTTAATAAAATCCCCCCTCTTTTGGGGGGGGGGATCCTGAAGATGGCTTGGCTCTGAAGGAGGCTTGGGGAGAGGGTGGGGGGGGGAAGTTTTCCCACCCCCTTTTCCTTTGGAGGGGGGTCTTTTAATAAAGTGGTCTTTTCTCTCTCCCCCACCTCTCTTCTTGGGATCTTGAAGGTGGCCTTGGCGACGGATCGGAGCAGCTCCCGGGGGCGATGAGCACCTCGCGTCCGCCTGGGGGCGTTTAAGGTGGGGAGCGAGCTTGTCATGCTGGTTTGGGGGGGTGTTAGTTTGGTTTAGGGGTTCCCCAGCACTTATTTCCCAGGCCCGCAGAGTTAGGGGTGGGTGGGAGGTCGCCAGGATAGAGAGACCCCATCTCTTTGCAACCCAAGAGCAGAGGGCCATATGGGAATTAAATTCTCCCCTCTGCCAGACACACACATCTGGATCCAGAGAAACCTTTACTTTTTCAAGTTTCTAGTTCCTGGTGAGATTGATCTGGAGGGGAGGGAGGGAGAGGAGCCGGCTTTGAAAACCAGCTCCTGTTCTTTCTTTCTTTCTTTCTTTCTTTCTTTCTTTTCTTTCTTTCCTTCTTTCTTTCTTTCTTTTCTTTCTTTCTTCTCTCTCTCTCTTTTCCCTCTCTTCTGGGAAAGAAAAATTTTGGCCATCTCAACACTTGGGTTTCCTTTCAACTCCCCCCCCCCATCCTTCTCCTTTCCAATTTTGTATTTCTTTTTTGAGACTTGTTTTATTTTGTGCCACCGGCCTTCAGAAACGACATGGAAGCAGTTGGCAAATTTGAATTCAGCAGGAAAGATCTGATCGGGCATGGAGCTTTTGCCGTGGTCTTCAAAGGCAGGCACAAAGAGGTAAAAGAGGATTTTATTTTTATTTTATTTTAAAAAAAAATGTTCTGGCCTCCTTTTCAAAAAAATAATAAAAAATGGGAGGGATTTTTGGTGATATTTTTTCTGCTGAGACAAGCGGGGGGGTGGGGGGCGTTCTCGATTCTCTCTTGAAATGATAATATCTGATATGACGGTGAAAAAGGAGTAATTATTGAATCATTGATTCAACCAGCTTGGTCCAAACAGTTGGCAAAGGGACAAGTTTTTATTTATTTTTATTTATTGTCATTTGTCAAACAGAAACAAAAACAGGAATAATATAAAAATACAATGATGGGGACGATGGGCATGTTAGTGAGTTTATGCACGCCTTATGCAGTTAAAACTTCTAAATCCATGTTGGGATTTTAGGCAACCTCTATCCCCCTCCCTCCCAGTTCCTTCTCTGACTTTTCGAGCAACCCCCAAATTTCAAATTAATCCAAAATTAGGCCTGGCAAAGGAGGTCACGGCGTGCCTTTCTAAGACCCCCAAAGATCTGTTAAAATCCACCAAGATTTTCTCAAGGAACTAAGGCAGAGACTGAATCATTGGGCTGATGCAATTAGGGGAAAGAAATTGGAGAATTTGCTTAGGCATAAGGCAAACCCAGGCCTTATCTTACTGGCTCCGCAAGGTTTTCCTATCTCAAAGCAGCCACAAAGCAGGGAAAAAACTCTTGTTGTCTTGCTGTTGTCTATAAATAAATATATTTTGAGTTTCTATTTGGTCGCTATGGGAGACTTAATAATCTCTAGGCAGGAGCACACCTGGAGTGCTTTTAGGCTGGGAGCAAAGGGTAAGGCCTGCATTTTATGTTTAATATTGGTGGGAACTTCTCCAAAGTGATTATGATTATCTTTGGAGGAAGAAAAAAAAGGTGGTAAAGATTTTGTTTTGCTTTTTTTGAATAGGAAGGATCTTGGCAAAGAGTTTGCAAAATCAGAATGGCTTTCGTAGCAGAGTTGAGCCATTCTTGCTAAAAACAAATCTTTGTCTATTGTATCCTCTCCTGCGTAGGTTATAATAATGTGCAATTATCTATTTGGGGACTTGAAGGGCGAAGAGAGGAGACCGAAGGAGGTTCACATCCTTTGCTTTGTAAAGGCTCTCGTGGAAGTTTGCTGCTAGAAATGAGGCCTTATTTAATTGGAAGCGGTTGTGTGCTGGAGGACGTGTTAAGAAGGGAAAAGAAATTAAATCAGAGAGGGCAAGTCTGAACTTGTCTTGGCTCAAGACCAGAAAACCGAATAAACCCAATGTTTTCAGATGTTTATACTGTCAATTATTATCAAATTTGTTTGCCTGACTATCTCGCGGCTCTGAGTGACTCAAAACTACCGCCAATGTTGTTTTATCTGCGTTTGACCCAGTCTGCGGCACAAAGTAGCTTTTATAAACCGTGGGTTTTGGGGGCATGGCTGCTTGTGAGTGGATCGACAAACCCTCACGAACTGAGTTTTGTGGGGGTCTGTTGGAAGTGTGCGATGGAAAACCCGGGAACTCCTATTCACCGTCTCTCCCTTGATATTCCAACTTTCAGAAACCCGAAGTCGAGGTGGCCATCAAATGCATTAACAAGAAAAACTTGGCAAAATCCCAGACTCTCTTGGGCAAGGAGATCAAGATATTGAAGGTAAATTGGAAGGGAAAAAAGGGGAAGTGACTTCGGAGAGCGAACCTTGTTACCTGAATTACGATCTGTGTTTATGTTTGTTTGATAAGTTAACGGTTGCCTCCCCCCATCCCTCTTTCTCTTTCTAGGAACTGAAACATGATAACATCGTGGCTCTCTACGACTTCCAGGTATTTTTGCTCTGAATTCAGGTCCAAAGATTTATGGAGAGAGAGAGAGAGAGAGAGAGGGAGGAGGAGGGAAGGGTTGATGGGCGCAGTCGATGGACGAAAAGAGGGTGTTGTTTAATGAGCTTTTTATAGGGGGATGACAACAAGGATGAAGAGATGATGAAAACGTCAGCTAGATTGACCTCTAACCCATGGGGCTGGTGGTCTTTAGCTAAAATGGAGGACTTTGTCTATAGAATATTAGAATATTCTTTATTGGCCAAGTGTGATTGGACACACGAGGAATTGGTGTCCAGTGCATAAGCTCTCGGTGTACATACAACAACAAAGTAATATAATGATAGGCTACTCATAGGAGAAGGTGGTAGAAAAAATGAGAAGGATAATAGTAATACAGACTGACCTCCTACATTGGTAAAATATCTTTAGATATAAGACAATGGTGCGGGAATTACCTTGTTTTCCCCAAAATAAGACATACCCCTGATAATAAGCCCAATCAGGCTTTTGAGCACACGGCAATAAGGCCAAGCGCTTATTTCAGGGTTCAAAAAAATATAAGACAGGGTCTTATTTTCGGGGAAACACGGTAGGTGTTCAGCAGAGTGATGGCATAAGGAAAAAAAAAAATTCTCTGGGCCAAGTTGTTGTGGCATGCAATGGCAAAAAAAGGACAATCCTTAAAAAGCTTTTACGGTTTGTTTGTTTTTTTGTAATCCTTAAAAGAGCTGCAGGTCATTCTGCAAAAAAGAAAAATGGTTGCTTTAAAGAGCGCATTGCTATAATTTGGGGATCTGAGCCGTCCGGTATTTGTGTGGCCCTTGTCTAAAATCTCATCGCTGTGGCATTGTTACTGTTGCTTGTTTAACCAGTTTTATTTATTTATTTTTTTATTTCTCTTTGGGAAGTTCGGGGCCCTTTCAGTTCAGTGACATTGTAATTTTTTTTTAACAAAAAACAAAAACAAAATTATAATAGGAATTAGATGGAAGCCGGAACAAGGAAGGGCCATTTCCTGTTTTGTATTTGTGTTTTGATTTTATTTTTTAGCCTTTTTAGTCAAGCAGGAAAATGATGGATCTCGTGGCATTAAAAGGGATCTGGCGTGGATCTGGCTTTCTCGCGTTGAGCTGTTTTATATCTCTCCTTGTTTGGAAATAACTTTGGCTGGTGGATGTTTATATCTCTTTGTCTGGGCACATCTCCACCCTCTTCAGGAAACATGCAAAAGGCTGGGTTAATTTCCCAACGAAATTGACCAATGTTGTTTGCGCCTCTGCAAGGATTTGCAATGCTGTGCAATTGTGTGTCTCTCTCATGTGTGTGTGTGTATGTACACAAGCCACTCTGCTTGGTGGTAGAATTGCCTAAATCCTATTTGGAACCCAGATCCCTGGGCCAAACTTCCAGATCCCCGGGCCTTTGTTTTTTGAGATGAGCCTCCTTTAATTGGGTTATTGCTTTCCCACACAGGCAGGCGGTGGTTGCGCGACTGGCTGGCTTCTTGCAATTGTGCATCCGAGGTTTGTTTGCCTGTCTGGCCCAGTCATGTGGTTTCCAGGCCTCCTTGTTTGTTGACATTCTTTTAGCCGGCTCTGATTGGCCCGGAGCGGCACCTGCGTCACACTTTGCAATTTGATGCCTCTGTGGGGAACCCTGTGGTGTGAGCCACTGCCGGGCGCCCGCCCTCCCTGCGAGCAAGGCATGCTGGGAACGGTAGTCTTTTGGTTGCTTTTGCTGGTAGGGTTTGTTTGCTTGGGGTTTTTTTGGGGGGGGGCAAAGTTGCAATGGAACACAGCTTTCCTTGCCCCTTCGCCCCCCCCTCCAGAATTTTTTCTTGCTTCAAACTGGGTTGGAGGAAATAATAAGGGAAAAAGAGTGTGTTTATGTTTATATTTTATTTTATTTTATTTTATTTATTATTTTATTATTTTATTTTATTATTTTATTTTATTTTATAATTTAATTTAATTTAAATTTATTTAAATTTATTTATTTGTCAAGCATATATAAAGTAACAGATACAAGTATAAACACGATTTGAATACATGAAAAGGATACGAGTAAAAAGGGACAAAAAAAGGGACGCGGGGGCTCAGTGGCTGAGGCGCTGAGCTTGTCGATCGAAAAGGTCGTCAGTTCGGCGGTTCGAATCCCGAGTGCCGCGTAAACGGGGTGAGCTCCTGTGACTTGTCCCAGCTTCTGCCAACCTAGCAGTTTGGAAGCACGTTAAAAAAAAATGCAAGTAGAAAAATAGGGACCACCTTTGGTGGGAAGGGAACAGCGTTCCGTGCGCCTTTGGCGTTTAGTCATGCCGGCCACATGACCACGGAGACGTCTTTGGACAGCGCTGGCTCTTCGGCTTTGAAACGGAGATGAGCACTGCCCCCTAGAGTCGGGAACAACTAGCACATATGTGCCAGGGAAACCTTTACCTTTAAAAAGAGACATTAGGACAGGGACGGAAGGCACGTTGATGCACTTATGCATGCCCCTTACAGACCTCAGGAATGGGGTGAGGTTAACAATAGACAATCTAAGGTTAAAGTTTTGGGGATTTGGGGAAGAAACCACAGAGTCAGGTAGTGCATTCCAGGCATTGACCACTCTGTTGCTGAAGTCGTATTTTCTGCAATCGAGTTTGGAGCGGTTTACCTTGAGTTTGTATCTATTGTTTGCTCATGTATTTGTTGCAGTTGAAGCTGAAGTAGTCAGGTAGGACGTTGTGGCAGATAATTTTAAGTACTACGCTTAGGTCAGACCGAGGTCGGCATAGTTCTAAGTCGTCTAAGCCCAAAATTTCAAATCTGGTGGCATAAGGTAACCTATTGCGGGTAGAGGAGTGGAGGACTCTTCTCGTGAAATATCTCTGGACTCTCAATTGTATTAATGTCCGATATGCAGTGCGGGTTCCAGATAGATGAGCTGTATTCGAGAATTGGTCTAGCAAAGGTTTTGTATTCTCTAGTTAGTAGAACAATATTACCAGAGAAGAAGCATGATGGGGTTGATCACGTTTTTCCAGATTAGTTGCTCAGGTGACCTGAAAGCAGTCTTCCAAAATTTGAGGGGCTGCCACAAAGTACTTGAAAGCAGGACGAGAAGGAACAAATGGAATCTTATCGATCCAGATTGAAAGTAGAAATAGAGAGAAATTTCCAAACAGTGAGGACAATTAATTAATCAGTGGAATGGTTTGCTTTCAAAAATTGTGGGTGCTCCATCACTGGAGGCTTTTTAAGAAGAGATTGCATAGCCATTTGTCCAGAATGGGATAGGGTCTCCTGCTTGAGCCGGAAGTTGACTAGATGACCTCCAAGGTCCCTTCCAGCTGTATGCTATATTCTTTAGTTTTCCCACCCCTATTGCCAACTTGGAAACGGAGCAGGCACCATCAAGCCTCTTTTCTGAGAATCGTGGAATTTAAATAATGCAGCATAAAATTACGGGACACGAAAGTTGTGTAATGTGTAAGGTTGCCAGCCTGTATCTGTGTGTGTGATTCGGTGCTGCAGCGTGCATGGGAAAACACAGCTGTCCGTTCCCTTTGCGTTGGAAAACAAGACTCTGGAATTTGGACAGTGGGTTGTGTTTTCTGTTATTTGATAGGTGTTTATTTAAAGAGGTGGTTTCTCCCCAGGCTTTTAACTCAAAAGGGCCCAGAACAGTTTTTGGCATTGCCTTGAGGTTCACAGTTTAAAATGACATGGCACAAAAGGAAAATGGAAGAGGAGGGAGGAGGAAAAAAGGAGAATTAAGCAGATATCTCTATCCCCGCTGCTGGAGAAGAACAATTTAACCAGGGTTTAACCAGCCCTTGCTTTGTAAATTGCTTAATCTCTAAACGGGGAGGTCCCCAACTTGTGGGCCTCGGCTTGCAACCGGGCTGTGTGAGTGGCGGGTGTACCTGCTATTCACACAAATGAAGCTGTGTGTACCTCACACAAAATCGTTCCTTCCCCCCCCTCCTCTCCCCCCTCCCCCGCACCAGGTCTCCAACCCAGAAAGGTTGGAGAACGTTGCTTCCATGGCATGGAACCATGGCAACCATGGTTGTCCAACTTTTTTGTCTTACCTGGGCCACGTTGAGTGGAGAGGAACTGTCTTGGGCTATCTATAAAATACATCATTAATGTGTAGAAATAATGTATGTAGATTAACAGAGAATAGAATAGAATAGGACAGAATATTGGCCAAGTGTGATTGGACACACAAGGAATTTGTCTTGGTGCATGTGCTCTCAGTGTACATAAAAGATATGTTCATCAAGAATCATAAGGTACAACACTTAATGATAGTCATAGGGTACAAATAGGATAGGATAGGATAGGATAGGATAGGATAGGATAGGATAGGATAGGATAGGATAGGATAGAATAGAATAGAATAGAATAGAATAGAATAGAATAGAATAGAATAGAATAGAATAGAATAGAATAATAGAATAGAATTCTTTATTGGCCAAGTGTGATTGGACACACAAGGAATTTGTCTTGGTGCATATGTCCTCGGTGTACATAAAAGACAAGATAGATTCATCAAGAATCATAAGGTACAACACTTAATGATAGTCATAGGATACAAATAGGATAGGATAGGACAGGACAGAATAGAATAGGATTTTTTATTGGCCAAGTGTGATTGGACACACAAGGAATTTGTCGGTGCATACGCTCTCAAGAGTACATAAAAGATATGTTCATCAAGAATCATAAGGTACAACACTTAATGATAGTTGTAGGGGACAAATGATACAAGCAACAAAATTACAGTCATACAGTTATAAGCGGAAGACTGTAAATTGGAAGGGATCTTGTAGGTCATTTAGTCCAACCACCCCCTCTCCCAAGCAGGAGACCCTACGTGCGTGATGCGAATCTATGGCACGCGTGCCCAAAGTGACATGCGGAGCCATGTTGCCTGGCACATGCAGTATGTCCCGTTCCTCTTCCGGGTTTCTGGCACGCATGCGCCTGTGACGATCATCTGGCCTTTGTGCA